AGAAGTTTCCTTGCACAAGATAATGATCTTAGCCCACATCTGCTCCCCTTCTTGACTTTGTGTGCAGCAGACTGACTCTCCTCTTTCTTAAGATTGAGATGAAGTCTATCTGATTTTTTGTGTGTTTGCCAGGTGAATTCTATGCTGTCTTGTGTATATATCTGAGCTAGAACACGCTACCTCTAATCACCGTAACATAATATATTGAGTCGTATTCGATTGTGAAACTCGGTTTATTAATCATACGTGATCTTAAACGTTCACTAATGAATAGATTTGAAAATGGTTATTAAAAATGCAGACAGTTTTAAGTAATAATGGAGTCATGAAGCATTGGCTTTGTAGGGATTTTGTTTGATTGGTTGGAGGATTTCATCATGAGAGGACATCAGCTAACCAGAAGAAGAGATCCAGAAAGCGTGTAGAATGTTTTGAATAGTTAACAATTTAAAAAAGGAAATAAAATGGATTACGCACAAATTTAGGTCAAAACCTTTTCCAGTCACGTTAGTAAGACACCTTAGGCTATATTCAAAAACTATGCCTGGAAACATTTTAAATGGCTTGGCTTTAACTTGCACATCACTGGTGAAGGAAGACTTCTCACTTGATGCAAAATGATGCTAAACGACAAGGCATCCAATAAGTGACCTACTGGTTGGCATGATTTCCCCTTTTGATGGTGGCAAAAATACAGTTATATGAGGTGATTTCACCTGATGCAATCAACTAAGACAAAGAGATTAGACACTGAGTTCACTAATAAGTGAATCTTTCTGAACACAAGTCAGGTTTTAAACGTTTAATAGTAATTGCTTCGGTGAATTTGAGGAAAGTTGAGCTGTATTGCCTAATAATAATCTTGTAAGTTTTCACGCTGTCCATCTCATGGCCTGAATCAAGAAGATGTCTAGCAATATCAGTGTTCAAAACATTTGCTCCCTTGAGGTGTAAACGTTTTGGTGCACGTCCAGAAAATCTGAGATATGCCCTTCTCTCTGTTCTTTCAATGTAATTGTTGATACACTTCATTCGAAATCCATCAAGTAAAACAATAAAATAATTGTTTTTATCGCTAATTAGTTATTTACAGTTTATATGAAATAGTATACTAACTAACACATCACTGCTAAACATTTTAAGTTATTTAAAAAGAAATTACCGTTGACCGTTTACTACCAACTATCTAACCATTTAAAAGTGCACAGAATATTTCTCAGTCTAACACTTATTTTCTCTCGCTCTGTATAATAGTGTATCTATTAAAGTAAGAAAATGATATGAAGCACCTATGTTGAAGATGGGAACTCAATGTTTATTTTTAAGTGAATTGTTTTATTCTTTTGCAGTGTGAATGAAGAATAAACGGAAATTTCTGTGACCTTATTTTAAGAACCTTAATCTGGACTAACTGAACTAAGGACTTATGTTTCTTTGTTTTTTGCACATTGATTAAAATTACTGTCTTCTTTTACTCTCGGAGGAACATAAGGCTTCAGCTGCATGTTCCCATTTCGTTTGGTTCTCCACCAACCTTTCCACCTGGCTCCACGTCTGCCTACATGCTTTCATAGCCTCTTCCCATAACCTCCTCCTCCATGTCATCATAGCACTGACGACCAACTCGCTGCTTTCCATTCGCGTTCCATTCGAGTGATGGTCTGGTGTGTGATGTCACTCACTCGATGATTTTTTTTCTCAGAGTACGGCCAATCCACCTCCATTTCTCCCTGCATATTTGTTGCACAACTAGTTCCTGCTTGGTTGGTTCGCTCATTGCCAGAGCTCCTTCCCCGTTGCTGATCTTTTCTGACCAGCCACCTTATCTCGAGTAGTATTGAGCGAAGACAGCTGTTGATGAAGGTCTGTAGTTTGTTCAAACTGGCCTTCGTGAGGTGACTCTAAGTCTGTGATCCGTATAGTAAGTAGCACTGACTTCACACTGGAGTAGAAAATCCACATCTTATTTTTCATACTGAATACTGTTGACCTTCAAACAAACTTGGGAATAATGGAAGCTTGCTTTGCTTTCCTGATCCTCGCTTTGATATCCTCATCAGTTCCGTCTGCCTGTAGTTAAAACGATGCTTTCGAGGTAGGTAGGTAGGTAGGTGAAGGAGGTTCTTTCTCTCAGATTTCTCCCATTTTTTGTCTGTTGTTGTTGCTGTTTCTGTTGTTCGGGAATCTTCATCACCTCTGTTTTGTCTATTTTCTCCTGAATTGAAGTCGTATGTTTGATGCTTCTTCTTTCAACTTGTTGTTTTTCACCTGCATATCTTCCAATTTGTGGGAAATCACAAATATATCATCGGCGAAGTTCAGATCCTCCAAGTTTCTTTTGTGGGTCCACTTTTTGCCTGTTTCCTCGCTGCGCGCTAACTGTCGGTCACATTGCCCAGTCTACCGCAATCAGAAAAATCATTGGAGATAGTAAGCAGCCCGTTGTCTTACTCCTGTCTTCACTTCGAAGGATTCCATGACTTTCCCTTTTGTGGATTATATGGCATGCAGCATTGTCGTACAACTGTTGGATGAGGTGTATAATTGTTAGTGACATCCTTTAGTGGCAAAGTAGTTTCCAAATCACCTATCGATCGACGCTGTCGAAGGCTTTTTCAAAGTCAATGAAGTTGATGGTGATAAGCAGATTATGCTATAACTTTTGTTTAGTTGATATTGTATTAGATTCTACACAACATTTTGTGAATAATATTATTATTGACAAGATATCGCATTGTTTATTCTCACTTCTCAATGAAATAATTCATGAGCTTCACTTTTTGAATATATATAGAGTTGCGGAAAATATTCACTATATTTTAACCAGTGCTTAAACGGTGAGAAGTTATAATGGAATTCACTGATTCGAAGACTTTACCGGAAAAGAGTCACGAACACAGTTTGTAAAAGAATAATTGCTTGGAAAAACTCCCTCCTGGACCACCTAATTGCAATACTGATGCTTATTTGAATGTTTCAACTAACTTTGAAATTATTATCAGCTTTTATGCTAGACTGTATGCTTTTGTTCTGACATTTGCATATCACTTGTTGATCTTGGTCTTAACCTCTTCACTAGTCGTTCCCTATGAAAAAATTTGATTTTTATCTAAATTTTCAGCTTTACTTTTAGTTTGCTTTTACTTTAATAATTAATTCACTATTATCACTCCCATATATTCCTTTTGAAAATTTTCACACCCTCTTCACACTTGCTTTATTCTCACTCAATATCAAATATCTAACTTTTTTTTACTTTGTGCTGTTTAGTACTACTTAATTTACAACTTTTATTTTTTACTTCTAAAGGCACATCTTAGTAAATATATCAATTATGTCAACTCCCCTATTACTCAATAGTGGACTACTATACATTTTTGGTAAAGATAAAACTACTGTACAGCCTATGAAGATACTCGGGAGTCAACTATCTGGACCGGGAGATGCAAGAATCGCAGACCCTAAACATTAAAAAAGACCAGTAAAACTGTTATACTCTAAAACTGGACTCGCGCAATTTTTAAAATTTGATTTTGTGGAATAAACGTTCCCCTGCACAACTCGTGTTCTGTTTCCCTTACCCGTGTGTCTGCTGCTTTGCTTGTTGCACGTGTACATGTTGGAAGAAGACGAAAGAATACGAATAAAAGTACAGTACATTCTTTGTAAAAACATCTCTTTATAAACTTAGTACAGAATATTGATTTTAACAATCGAAGAATACAATTCATTGTCATCCATTGTGCTTGGTGGTTGTCGATTCGGAGCGTCTTCGGAAATAATAGGATCTTAGGATAAAGTTCCTTGACAATGGGTATTTTAGGTAATATTTGACATTAGAATAAGAATGAAGCGAATATGTTGTTCATTTCTCAGATATTGCATAAAGTTTATTTTTATTATTGAACAATAAATATTACAATCAAACCAAAAGAGATTTAATTTTCTAATTTTCAATTTTTATTGCTAATTATCTCCGTCTAATCTGAAACTCTGCATAGATATTATGGTTCTTCAAAGAAGCCTTTCTATTCAAATAGTCATCAGTATCTCCATTGGATGATTTAACTTTAGATCTTACTAGATCACCCCAAACAATAAAAACCACAGATTGTGATTTATCGCCGTCTAATGTGAATACCCCACTGGAAGTTAGTTATTCAGCAGTTTTCTCATCCTTAAAGTTGTATTTTGACAAGTGATTTTACTGGTCGAACTAGTGATTAATGTATAGACGAGTCGATATGATTGATTAGTACCAATCTGCGTACATGTGATAACCAATGTAATCCCAGGTTACTTTTTTTATTCCTTCACGTTCCCCAGTGGAACATAAGGCTTCAAGCTAGAGTCTTGAAGTTTCTGTAGCAGTGATTTTTACAGGATGGGGTTGCTAGCCCAACCTTTCCTCTTTACCAGTCTTATCAGTGGCTTAGTGAGGTAAAGGAAAGCGCCGGCCGGGGATCGAACCCCGGACCATATGCATGGTCGGCGAGCGTCCTAACCGCTATGTCACCGACGCACCTCCCAGGTTACTGATGAATGTCTATCAATGCAGCGTGCAATAAAGACTTGAGCAGAGAGATATTCAGAGTATTTCTGTCATATAATGTGTTTTCAGATGAACACAATTTAATACTGAGGATTACAGTAAGATTGTAGCTTCAGATACAGACATTTTAGGACTTCAGATGTGTAACAATTTAACATACTGGAAGAATCCATAAAATCTGTATGCATTATTCATATTTACATCATTCCGAATAGCAATACATAATAGAATATCCAATGTTTAGTGAAGTTTTGGTATGATATGAGACACACAGCACACTATCTTTTCAACTCTAGGACATATTATTGGTTCACAGACGCGTATCTCTTATTAACATGTGACAAGGTCAAACAAGATAATTATTGATTGTTTATGAAATTCACTTAAGGTCATCTGGTGTGTTTTTATATAAAAGCGACGTTAATAAAGATGTTATTGTTGATAAGACCAGAAATTTACTGCGCAGTTAATGGAACTAAGGCTAAGGAAAATTCTCCTATCATCGTGTTTCGCCATTTGCCTCGCCTATGTAATCCACCAACATTTCTCACAGACATCGGATCCACGTGTATATCATGTGACACCACCATCACTCGAGTTGGACGACCACCTAATTTCAAACGACAAGTACAGTAAAGTCGACAAGATTCATTTACAATCGTACACCGGCCCTGAAAGCTTCGCTTTTTACAATGGTAAGCCATCTCAATGCTTTGAATATATATATTTTATAGGCTCTCTGTACACCACTGTGATGGAAGGTAAAATATTGAAAATAAACGATGCTGGAATTACTGTTCATGTAACACTTGCCTCACCCGACTGCAGTAATGTCCACCCTATTCACTACTAATTCAATCATTCAGCTAATTCTCATCAGTGCAGTAGACCGTTAGGTTTGAGAATGTTGAAGAATTCAAGACACCTACTTGTGACTGATGCATACATGGGTGTATATTCTGTATCCTTGAAAGACGGTAAGTGAGTGTTGTCTATGAGTTGGATTCATTTTTACTCTTACATGTAGGTGGTGTTCAGAAGTTGTTTCCTTTGAAGGATGATTACAAATTTACATTTTTCGATGATTCATTTCTCCTTCCGAATGGTAGTGTTTTTATCACTGAAGCTAGTACAAATTACACTATACATGAATTGTGGTCAGCGCTTTTGGAGGGATTGCCTAGTGGAAGGTGAGACTGTGTTTGCGTATTTGTTGTTGTTTTATATTAAATGTTCACACAGTTCTACATTAGTTTAGATAATTAGGAATTCTCTCTGCTCAAGTAAATGTCGTTCATACACATAAATAATAGACATATGAAATACGTAGGCACAAATAATCGTAAATCTTTTAAATGTTGATCAATGTAAGCACCATCTATTTTGGTTTCCACATTACTTATAGTTAAATAAATCCGTGGGCATTTATTTACCTACGCATCTCTGTTATCGTACAAAATGCACATCTTTGCAATCCATAAATGCAACAGTCATTTGGTTTTATTCCTGGAAGATGTATCTATCACGATGCGTTCCAAAGACAGGGAGAATGCGAGTGTTCTCCAATATTTTAGCGGTCCTACTAAACAATAACCACATCAAACTCAAAATTAACCTAACAGTGCCATGAGGCAGCTATACAAGTTTTGTATGTTTCTGAATAAAAACAGGTTTCTCTATGAAACTGGAAAAAAGTACCTTAGTATCGAGGAGAATATTCCCAAGGAGGTGGGATCAAAACTTTGTCCACAAGAATTACACATCAACGCTTCTTCTAGACATTTCGGGTCACAATGGCCTTCATTCACTCAAACAACACGGCGTCAATGTACACACAACCATCAGGAGAAGTATTACAATAAGAGATTAAACACGAACCAAGGCAAATAATAAAGATCAAAAGTCAACATGTGGTATGCAAATGTCAAATTATGAAAAACAGTCTAGCATAAAAGCATATAATAATTACAAAGTTTGAATAAAGTAAGAACAACAGTTTTTGCAGAATAAAATGGTACCATCATTTATTTCGTTGGCATCTTATCAGCTGCTTACAGGCCAAAGTCATTATTAAATATATCTACAGAAATAATTTTAACATACTTGAACAGAGTTAATTTTTAAACAAAAACCAATCAGTATATTCATATTTAACATTATTCCGAACAGTAATGATCATACACAATGGAAACTTCCTACTGATAACTGCTTCTTTCTGAACGCATAAATCAGGTTTCAGGTGCTTGTTGGAGATGGCTTCAACAAACTTGAGGAGAATTGAACTGTTTTGCGTATTGATAATTTTGAACGATCTTGTGACGTCCACCTCATGACCAGTGTCAAGGAGATGCCTGGCGATGGCACTGTTTAAAGAATTGGTTCCCTTTAGACATAAGCTTTTCAGTACATGTTCAGAAAATCGTAGATATGCCCTACTTTTTGTTCTCCATAAGCGGTATTTCCAACTTGACTGTAGATAACTAAAGTATTGGAAAACATACAGTTAGCATTTAGGTGTCAATTAATAGACAAATAAACGTTTGGGATTTACAGAAAAAGAAGATATGGCTATTTAGATTACCCTCTTCATGAAAAGACAAATGACAAAATTTGGCTTAAAAGTATGGCTGTGAGCCCCCATTTTAACTGACACTAAACATCAAAGTGAATATGAATCACTTCAGAGGAATATTGACTTATTAATTTTATTGTTTCCTTTAATTCCTAGGGGAACATAGGGCTTCAGCCATGCGTCTCCATTGCGTTCGGTTCTCTGCTAGAATCTTCACCTGGCTCCATGTCTGCCCACATGCTTTCATCTCTTCTTCACATGACCTCCTTCATGTCACACCACCCTCGCACTGACGACCAACTCGCCGCTTCCCTTTCGGGTTCCACTCGAGCAATGGCTTGTCTAGTGACGTCACTTGATGGTTTCCTCAGAGTATGGCCAGCCAATCCATCTCCATTTCTTCCTGCCTATTTGTTTCACAATTGGTTCCTGGTTGGTTCGCTCCCAGAGATCTCTGTTGCTGATCTTTTCTGGCCGGCCATCTGATCTTGAGTATTGAGTGAAGAACACTGTTAATGAAGGTCTGTAGTTTTTTTGAGATGCTCTTTATGACGCGCAGTGCAAGTCTCTGATCCGTATAGTAAGTAACACTGACTTCATATTGGAGTTGAAAATCTCGATCTTATTTTCATTTTCATCCTGAGTTCTGCTGATCTCCACAAAGACTTGAGGGTAATGAAAGCTTGTCTTGCCTTCCCGATCCTCGCTGCTTTGAAATCCTCATCAATTCCATCCGCCTGTAGTTGAAACGATGCCTCCCAGGTAGGTAAAGGAGGTTGTTTCTTTCATGTTCCTTCCATTTATGCTGACTGCTGTCTGTTGTTGTTGTTGTTTCTGGTGGTGGTGTTGGCCAGGAATCTTCATCACCTCTGTTTGCTCCATGTTCACCTGAAGTCTGACTGACATAGTTTGAATTATATTATAGTTTTAGCATTCAACACTACTATTCAAATACTCGACACCAAGTTTGTCATAATTCTGTCAAACTATAATTCTCAAGTACAACACACTCATCTCAATACGTTCAAGCTTCTGAAGAAAGAAAGCATGCTTTCTGAAAGTATGGTTAACTTTGTTTTGGCATGAAAATGATATGTAGAGTATTCACAATAAGATTTGTGAAGTATAACAGATTGAATCTCAACTTTGGTGATTCGATCAGCGCCTAGGTAGTCGGATTACAGGAAATTTATTTAAGCAACTTTAGTAGTATCGTTTCAAACGGTTAATATTTTCAACCTGCAGCATTTATAGTTTCACTATTCCTTAGTGTAAATCAAACCAATTTCCTTGTCAACCCTTATTTCACCTCCCCATATCACCCTGCATTACCAGTCTCCTCCAATACTGACTGGTAGCACGTGGGAATAATTTCAGTGGATTCTCGTGTGATTTCACATATTTATCAACCACAAATGATTACTAAGGACCGGACGATGGATATAACCTCATAACATCAAATTTTTCAGACCTAGTAGTGTCAAATGTCCATAAAAATTAACTTTTTTGTACACATTACTTCAACTCAACTAAAATACACAATCGCTTCTTTCCCTAAAAACTTCAGATTGATTATGGCCGACACAAACACGGGTAAACACAGTGTGATACTCGACAATTTACGTTTTCCCAATGGAATCGAGCTTCATCGTGATGGTAAATCTATCCTGGTCGCTGAAACAGTGAAGTTTCGCATATTACGAGTGCCACTAGATGGTGGTGAAGTTACCGTGTTCATAGATGGTTTACCAGGTTTTCCAGATAATATAAGAGCTAGTCCACGTGGGGGTTACTGGGTTCCTGTTCAAGGTTTGCCTAATTCACCAGTGATGGCATATCTCTTCAAGCATCTACCAGTTTGGCCTAACGTTCGTTATCTTTTCTCCAAGGTGAGTTCTCTGTAGTTCTATTTCTTTGTTTTAAATCTGTCTTTGACTAGTATTCTCACCTCAGCCGAGCACACCACTTCTTTATCCTAAATAAAATATTCAATTAGAAATGAGAAATTGGTTAATATAATAGGCTGTCCCTTTCTGACTAAGAAAATGTGGTTCATGCTTAACCCATCAACATAAATTCTCCCTTCCCCTTATGTAGTGCATCTAAACAATGCCTTTACAGGCTCTCACACAAACTACAGTATCAGATACTAGTCTGCAACAAGCATCCAGTGTCTCTTAATTGTTATGAAAGTCAACAGACTTCTGCGAACATCCAACACATTTATCGGAGACAATTGGAAGCAGTTTCTCGGGTTATGTGAGTATTCAAATCCTTGAAATATGCCCGAAGTTGTAGCCATTCGATGCAAGACACTTTGGAAGTATATTTTTATTCATTTCAAGCAGCTCCTAATCATTGGTATTCCACTCCTAGGTCAAATTTTGAAAAAGGATTTGAATAACACATAGTTTCAAGCTAAACTGCCAAATCCTATGAGTGCTGGCTTGACTAAATTAGTAGTATATAACATCATTGTTTATTCAGCTTTTAGAATTTCGACCACCATTGTATGATTTCAGGGATAGATTAAATCGACCCTTTTATCTGTCCATAGCAAGTTCACCTTTAATAGTTTGAAAAAATTTGGGCATTGGGCATATAATAATAATTATCATAACAAATTGACTACTTGGTTTTTTACTTCGTATGATAACTGCCTTATTCTCACCACTATCATTAAAAACAGTCAAACACTAACCATATAGTACAAGAAGTTATTTAATCACAAAAATGGTTTACGCTCAAGCTTGGTTGCATTTCTAGAAAAGACCTCACCACGACTTGGTCAAATAGCAACTTTTCTAACACGTTTTCGTAAACATACATTTAGCAGAACATAAAATATGATTACCGAGTTAGCAAACTCATGCCAGAATGCATCAAACAGCCTGTTGATGAAATATCTGTCATCGCATATCAAGACTTGAAGAAAATCAACCAATTTCCACAATAAAATCATTCACATAGGTAACTAGGCTTTGCAGTAACATAGACACAACTTTGTTTGATGTTCGTATTGAGAATTATAATGAAATAACCATACAAACATTTCATTTCTGAATGGATTTATTATCTAAACATGTGAACAATAATCAGGAGTCAAGCTAATTAATAAATGCTCAAAACAGTGAGAAAAGACAGATTATATCTCCTTTCTACTACAGATAACACAGCAGATCTTGTCATAATACATAAAAGAGTTGTGTGTACTAAATTGTACAAGAAACACTGAGGTAGTATCATGTGTAAACGACTGTAAATTCTACAACACAGTTATCAATGAGTTTCGGATATATATATATATTCATGACACACACCTCTTCGGAATGGCCTTCTCTTCAACAGTTGGTCAAAAGCGTTTATATCATCTAGAGAACGTTCAAATCTCTTCCGATGAGTCATTTTTAAACAATCTGCCTCGCAAACGTAGCTTTTTATTGATAAAGTTTCAGGAATATTATCATCACCGCTCTGACAGCTTAATTATGTCCAAAGTAAAATTTTTCATAAATTAATACCGATGTAGGAGAGATTACAAACTGTGAAACAGTGAAGAGATCTTCCACTTTACTGTAGATTAATTAATTCAGCAGCTCAAACCTAAGACCAACCGAGGGGTGGAGCTTTAAGGCGCTAGGTTGAGTAGTGAGCAGATTTTTATTCTGTCAATTAAGGAAAAAGTTAACTTGAAAATAAAACAGTTTAAATAAAGCAGTTTGTCACAAAAGGATCTAAATTGGTTGAAGTGGTTGTAACACACAATGAATCTAAAAGTTTTGAATTCTGTTTGAAATAAGGTTAACAGAGATGGAAAATTGAAGAAGAAATAAATTTCATTTTCGTGGAAGAAACCAAGATCACATTTCACATTGAACGGCTTTCAAATAACATAGCGCAGGTAGAATCTGCACACACATTTAAAGCCATCGATATACATGTTTGATGGTGTTCACATTGGAACATACCCTTCCTGTGCGACTTCTTCATTTCATCCTGAAGTAGGATGAAAATTCGGGATGTTATTTTGTCAAAATCATGGCTTATAAAATAATGTATGCAGAGCACAAGTTCGTTGTTGGCAATTCATGAATTGGCACAGACGTCAGGAATGCGTTCTCATAATTATTGTTTAAAAATCACTAACTACCAAATGACCTTTACAACGACTGGCGAAATGTTGTCCGTAAGGTGGCTTATATTTACATCATTTAAGGAATAGTTTTGCATGCACTTGAGGGTTTGTTAGTCAAACAGAAGATAAAATGCATGGTAGTTTGCTTCGATGTACAATGCTCTGTGTTCTAGCGTCAGCTCATTCACAACTTGTGCAATGTAACACAGATTTCTGTAAGCAGCAATCACACAGCTATGTTACTAAATAGTGATGATATTACTATATCAAGTAGTAACAGTCCAAAAGACTTTCATAGAACACTTATTCAATCACTTGGATCACAGTTATATCGATATTTCAACGTAACAACACAAATGATTCAAATCACAGAACAGAGTTCCATTTGATTTTGGTTCAATACTAGGTAGGGCTTTAACCGTCGAAGAGTATCGTGAGCAGATTTAAATTTCCATGCATTTATCAGAAAGTGAATATTCAGTATTTGCGTTGTTAATCCGCAAATGACCTCATTCGATAGTGTTCATTCTTATGAAGGATAGTTGCCAGTGACAACCCGATTTCTGAAGTTTATTATAACTTGGTGTTTAGGTAGCTTTGTAAATTGACTGTGATGATGCTTCGCTCGCAATCGTCACAAAGATAAGCTGGAGTGAGTAACGTATCTTTACCATATGCTCAAACACATGGCAGAATATTTCACGCTTATATATAATTTTCTGCTCAGAATTATTTATAATGAATTATGAATTAACTAGTCAGGCACGTATACCTAATATAGTGAGTTATTTACCCACTACTGCATAATGGTACCGAATAATTATACACTTGCCTTCTTTCTTCCTTAATACACGCAGCTCATGTCCCTCTTTCCATCTATCTCTACTGGTGGGTCTGGACCGTCAATATTACTTCGTCTAGATGATGATGGAAATATAGCAGAGATATGGAAAGATCTTCATAATGAACTGCCTAGTGTCAGTGAGGTACTAGAATACAATGACACACTTTACACGGGAAGCTTCTACTTACCCTATATTGGTCGCTTGAAAAGACTGTCAAATTAGCGGACAATCAAAATTCCCGTAGAATACTTTGTTTTCCTGAGAGACAAACATCAATGACTGAATGTGCCTAAACAGATCTATTTATATTATTCAGTAAATTATTCACAATTATAAACTTGTGCATTAATGTTTCGATATGGAAAGTAATCTGTACTTTCGGAAACATCATTTCTACTCAGTTGATTTTGGAAGTGATAAAAATGTTTATTTGTTGTTCAAACACTTTTCAGAATAGTTTGTAGTTTGTGAAATGCACTCATGACTTTTGTGTAAACAGATGCCCCTTGTTCATTTTCTATTTGATGTAAGTTTATTCACTAATAAAAGTGTCTTTTGTCTTCTAAACTATCACACCAATGTACTGAATGGCTTTTGTTAATAAAAAGATTCTTGACTGTTTCAGTGAAACACATCACTGATGTATGCTGATCAGTTGTCTTGCATTAAGAAACAGCAACAGCTTTAATCTTCTGCATTTAACAGGTGAGCCACAGAATTATACAACGGTGTGTTCATTACTTATGTTATTCAATCCCTGTGAGTGGTGACATAAGTCAGTAAGCGATTTTTCATATATTTGTAAAACCTGGGCATTGTGGTAGTAAGTCATTCCATATTAGTTTGTTTATTAGATGTATCACACAGTGAGTGTAACAGAATTATTTACTGGATGACGTATCAAACAAAATTTATTGTTCATAATCATATCAATTTTAATCACACGACTTTGAAACTTGAGTTTTATAGTTTTCCTTGTCCTCTCCTATTTTTCATCATAGGGGTGGTAGAGTTTTCCAGATATCTGGGTGGACAGGTGTTGAATCATTCCTATTACACGTATTTGCTGAACTATTTTCTTATTCGGTTTAACCAATCTAGATTTCACTAGGTTTTTATGCTCCGTTAATCTGATCGCCCCTGTTCTACTACTCTGACCTATGTGTTTGGCCTGACAGTCATTTCAGGCAGGGTATTAGATAAACTAAATTGTTTTGTCTTAAAGGCTCCACAGGATTCTTCAACTGACAAAGCTTGTTTCTAATTGAGTTTGTGGGTTTGAATGCCAGCCACTTCTACTCCTGCCTTGTTAAGAATCTTGCGTAAAGTTTCCGAAGTTCCTTCCTTGTATGGAATTACTACTGATGATTTGGATTCCTTATTGTTGGTCTTGTCTTGCGCATGTTTGACACGCATGTCGTCATTACTATTATTATTATTACTATTATTATCACTATCACTACTATCACTATTTATTTTATTTTTACATTTTCCTACATACTTTCTGATTAATTTATCAGGGTAATTATTAAGTTTCAGAGATTCTCTTATACGCCTCACTTCCTGTCTTAGATTTTCCTTGATACTACTTAGTTTTTGTGCTCTATTATTTAAACATTTCACTAATCCTATTTTCACTGACATAAGACGGGATGGTCAGAAGTCCAAATATCTGTTTGAATGTATGGGTTTTCTGTAAACACCAGTGTTTAACTTCCCATCTTCTTTCCTTTCTACGCTACAGTCCAACATTGGAAGTTCCGCTTCCTGACTTTCCAATTCATAAGTGAATTGAATTGCCTCCACCTTTGAGTCAATTGTATTTGAAAAATTTATCTTTATCCTTTGTTCTAATTATGGTGTATAGTATAAGTATGGCACTACATGTAGTTACACACAACTATACAATAAGATGGATGGGATAAGATGAAAGTTTTAAAATCTAATGTCACAGGTTGGAGGGAGAGATTGATGTCAATGGAAGCTTTGTTTATCGAATCAACTGCAAATAGGAATGATTAGGAATGATTCAACAGCCGTCCACCCAGATATCTGGAAAATTCTACTACCCCCACGACGACAAATAGGAGAGAACAAAGAAAACTATAAAATTCAAGTTTCGAAGTCGTGTGATACATCTAATAAACAAACTAATATGGAAGTGATTTTTCAGTTTCAATTAAAATGTAGGATTAAACTTCGATATTATATTGACTTCTGAACATGTTCGTAAATGTTGAACACTAAAACAAAATCAATAGAATAAGACAAGATGAAATTTCTCCTAGACGAATTATTCAACTTTATGAAATGTGACACATATTGCATTAGAAAACTGTAGCAGTTGGCGTTCTCCATCTTGTGAATTTCATCATTGTTTGGAAGCCATTGAAAATATTTAACCTGGTATATACACAGAGACGAATCGATTCATCCTTGGATTCAGTAATCAACCTCTCTCTCCACCTACCTAGATTACTTTTTAGAATTTCAACCCTATCCCACCCTATTGTGCGGTTGTGTGTTAATGCATACATTGCAATCGCTGAGCTTTTTTCTAAATTACTTATCTTCTCTGGGTCAACCATTCTTACCTTAGCTAAATTCTTATGTTCTGACAATCTGACTACCCCCGACCTACTAATTTCCCTGTATAGTTGACTTAACTCACTCGAAAACCCCCCGACGGAAAACCAATATGAAAAACTTAAAGCTCTTCTTATACAACGGACCAGTTTGTCAGACGAGAAAAGGATCCAACAATTACTCACGGGCTGCGAGCTAGGTGCGCGTAAACCCTCCCAGCTCCTTAGACATATGCGCCAGTTAATAGGAAACCATAAAGTTGATGAGGTTGTGCTGAGACAAATGTGGTTGCAACGTTTACCCAGGAAAGTTCAACAAATTTTAATCATCTCGGGAAAGTCGTATGATTTAGACTCACTAAGCGACATGGCAGATAGTATTGTAGATGTTTTATCAGACAACACCATAGGTCAGATTGCATCTGACAGTGCAACACCATCTCAGTCCACACCTACGGCAGACACACCAATACTCGCCGCCATTGCAGACTTAGCGGCAAGGATTGACAAGTTGGAAACAAATAGATCTGATCGACGAGTCCAGTGGTGGAGTTCACGAGCAAGGTCACCATCACATAGACGATCTCTCTCCCGACAGCGTTCCCGCATGTCTTCTAGGGACAGTAATATATGTTGGTATCATAGGAAGTTTGGACGTCATGCCCTGAAATGTGTCAAACCGTGCATCTTTAGTGAAGAGAATCAGGTTCAGGGAAACGTCTCAGCCAGACAGTGATGGCGACAGCTGTTACTGGCAACCATTCAAGTCGCCTTTTCTACGTGAGGGACAAAACCACAGGCACATTATTCCTGGTAGACACAGGAGCCGAAGTTAGTGTAATACCTCCTTCACTCTCCAGGCGATCTTCTAGTACAGCTGCAAAACTTTCACTTCGAGCAGCTAACCAAACTAGCATACGGACTTACGGTGAACAATCACTTATTTTGGATCTTGGTTTACGTCGTCGATTTACATGGATATTCATAGTAGCTGATGTTAGTCATGCCATATTGGGTGCCGATTTTTTAAGCAATTTCAATCTGCTGGTTGATGTCAACAAGAAAAAGCTGAGTGATAACTGCACCCAGCTTCAAGTCCACGGAATCATCTCAAACTACTCTGTTTATAACATATGCATCGAGAAGCCAGATGACTGCATGTTTTCTGCATTACTGCATCGTTTCCCAAAAATTGTAAAGCCATCTTTTAATATCGAAGATGTTCCTCATTCTGTCACGCATAAAATTGTCACAACTGGTCAACCCGTCAGAGCACGTTCTCGTCAACTACCACCTGACAAGTTAGCAGCAGCCAAAGCTGAATTCGAACACATGATGCAATTGGGCATCATCCGACCATCCAACAGTCCATGGTCTTCACCTTTGCATATGGTTCCCAAAACTAATCACGACTGGCGACCATGTGGAGATTATCGCGCTATGAATAACGCTACGGTACCAGACCGTTATCCTATACCTCATCTCCACGACTTCTCCTTGACGTTACATGGAAAGACTATTTTTACCAAAGTTGACTTGGTTAGAGCATATCATCAAATACCAGTCGCTCCAGAAGACATTCCAAAAACAGCAAGTATCACACCTTTTGGATTATTCGAATTCTTGAGAATGCCTTTCGGTCTAAAGAATGCCGCGCAAACATTTCAGCATTTTATGGACCAAGTTACCCAAGGTCTTGATTTTGTCTTTGTATATATCGACGATGTCTTAATTGCCAGCTCATCGATGGAAGAACATATGGAACACTTAAGCTTGTTATTTCAAAGATTTGAACAATTTGGAGTTGTGATTAATCCAAAGAAATGTATTTTTGGTTCCCCATCCATCGAATTTTTAGGACATCGAATAACTGCCGAAGGCATCAGACCTACCGAAGATAAGATAGAAGCTATTAAGAACTTTCCCGAACCTGATTCCTTAAAGAAACGTAGACGTTTTCTCGGGATGTTCAACTTCTACCGACGTTTTATTCCATCATGTGCCTCCATAGTTCAGCCACTGACCGACCTACTTAGACGCAATTCAAAGAAATTTCAGTGGTCTGAAGAAGCAAAAGCAGCATTTTATAACGCAAAATATGCCTTATCCAACGTCGTAATGTTGACTCATATCAATCCAGAAGCTTCACTCATTTTATGTACAGATGCATCGCAGGTAGCAGTGGGAACAGTTTTACAACAAAAGTTCAATAATGACACCACCCCACTTGCTTTCTTCTCCAAAAAGTTGGAACCTGCACAAACTCGTTACAGCACATTTAGCAGAGAACTGTTAGCCATCTACCTAGCAGTAAAACATTTCAGCTTCCTACTACAAGGTAGACATTTTACTATCTTAACGGACCATAAGCCTCTCTGCTACGCTTTCACCACTTCTTTGGATAGACACTCTCCGAGAGAAGCCAGACAACTGGATTACATCTCACAATTCTCAACAGACATCCAGTTCATCAAAGGAGATTCCAATATCGTAGCTGATTCTTTATCTCGATCTGACGTTAATCACCTATCTTCGATAGATATTAGCTTAAACAATATAGCCAAGCTGCAGAAACATGACGCCGAACTTCATTCTTGCAGACGAAACTCCTCCCTACAGTTGCAGGACGTACCTATTCCCTGTCTGATACAACCATCGTCTGCGATGTTTCAACTGGCGTTCATAGACCTTTTGTCCCACTAAGTTGTCGAAAACCATTGTTTGAACATCTGCATTCCTTGTCTCATCCTGGTATACGTGCTACGGTCAAGTTGATCAGCGAACGTTTTGTTTGGCCCAAGATGAACTCCGATATTCGGAAATGGACCCACCAGTGCTTGCAATGTCAAAGATCCAAGGTTCATCATCATACCGTTGCACCTCCAAAGCAGTTCAGTTTACCGGATAGACGATTCCAACACGTGCACATAGATATTATTGGACCATTACCGCCATCCAGAGGATTTACTCATATACTTACTGCTACTGATCGATTTACCCGATGGGCTATTGCCTGTCCACTCAACGACATATCTGCAGAAAATACCGCCTTGGT